TTGAATGTCCATTTACCGGTATGTGGACATTTAAACAAGTTGGACAACCAAACTCTTTAATTCAAACACGTATTCGTGGTGGTGTAACCCCACGACCACGTGATCATGGGTGGTATATAACTTGTGATCCACAATATATGGTATCACAATGGTCAATATGTGGTGATCAAACAAAATCAATGTTTGCAGATCGTGAATATTGTCGACAATTAGATCCATATGGCACACCCATTGGTGTTTATGAACAACCAGATTATATTTATCAATGTGCTGGATATTGGAGAGAAGATTCCCGATCAATGATGGTGACATATGATCGTGATGATCCATATATAAATTATAAATGTTGGGTTTATGAAAGAAGAGATTTGACAACAATAACATTATCAAGATCAGCTGGTTCAGCTTGTGGTTTTAATCAAACATCTGAAAGTTATAAACCAGAAGATGGTGCTGATCTTGCTGTGACACTTATTGAAGCAGAGCGTATTCGTAAGTTAATCTTAATCTTAAATTAATAAAATAAACGTAAATTTTTTAATTAAATTAGATGATGATTGTCCAATTCGTTATGATGATGGTCGAAATGTATTTGTTGATTTAGAAGAATTTAATTTTTATTATGCCAAATCATCAAAATGTGCAATTGATAAAATTGTTTTTCTTTTGTTATTTGTTTTATTGTTTTTGTTTAATTAATCAAATAATCGGTTTTTTTTTACTCAGATAATTCTTACTCATTCCATTGTCAGATATAATCATTTGGTTTTTTTTCGTTTTGTTTGTATATGAAATTATTTGTCAGATAATTCTTTTGTTACTTTTTCTATTAATTAAAAATAAAATAAATATCTAGATTAGAATTCTTTTACTTTTACAATATCTTTATAAGTTCTATTATTTTCTTTTTTTAGATCAATTAAAATCTTCTTGAAAATCCTCTGAAAATTCTTCATTCCAAAGAATATCATTTTTATCTTTAATCTATTCAATTTAAGTTTTAATAATGAATGAGAAAGATATAAAAAAAAGGAATAGATGTAATTGTACAATGTTAATGGTTGTTTTATGACTTAGTTTTTCTTTTTCTGTTCTCTCGTTGGAATTTATAAATAGTAATAAAAAAAAGTCCGAACTTTTATATATATTTTTTAGATGGTTATAATGTTAATGATAAGACCATTAATATTATTATTTCTAATATTAATCAATGAAAAAGGTTTGAATAAAATAAATTTATTTAAAATAAAATTATTTGTTTTTTTTTCTTTTTGTAAAATTAGTAAAAAGTCAACTTCGATGTACATTTGATCGTCCATTATTAGGAGAATATTATTCATATGAAAATGGTCTTGAAACTCATACATCATTAAAAGAAAATGGTGATATAGATAGACTTTTTTATCGTCGTCAATCAGGTCTTGGTGCTACTGCAAGTATTATAACAATTCTTGATAATCATGCACTTGGAGAATGTTTTCGTCTTGAATGGAGAGAAAATCCTTTTGATCATGCTTCAAAACATCATTATGAACTTATTTATCGAGATAAGTAAGTTTTTATTTCTAAATAAAATAAATATTCAATTCTTTTTTATTTTCTTATTATTTAGAGAAAAATCATGTTATCAATGTTATCAATTGTATAATCGAACACGAAATATTGTTCAAATACGAAAAAGTGAATGTAATGAAATAACTTCCATTGTAACAAATCAAATGAATTTTCAAGATCTTTGTGCAAGTATTAGTTTAGATGCTGATTTTGATACATTATTTTGTGAGTTAAATTTATTTTTCTTATGTAAATATATATTTTATTTCTTATTTAATTAGCAAAAACTTATTCTGCTGAAGAATGTCGTGCAACTATTTATGGAACATTTCATTTTACATATGAATTTCGTGAAGGTGGTATTGGAATATGTGATAATCCAATTTCACGTTTAGTTTCTTGTCCTGATCCTGGTACACCATTTGAAGCTGTTAATGAACGATTTTGGATGACATATGGTTATTGTCGTGATCTTGTTTCATCTATAGATGCTCAACCACTTTATCAATGTTTGGGTTATTGGATAAATGATAAAGGTGATATATTTACTGGAATAGCAAATGAACGTGTTGGATCAGAACGTTGGTATGATAAATTTCGTTGTATGTTAACAAGACAAGATCAACCACAATGGTTTGCCAAATCTTTATTTGCGGAATGTTCACGATTATATTCTCCAACTGATGGACCGGAAAAAGTTATTATTACACCAATTATTCCTGAAGTTCCAACACCAACTTGTTTTTTTCCCGATAATTTTACAGGAGAATGGGTTAATACAGCTAATGTTAATGCAAGAACAATAATTAATGCAACACATATACATGAAATATCTCAAGTTAATAATCGTGGTTGGTTAAGAGAAACATATTATGTTTGTCAACAAATAAGTCGACAACAATTTTTAGTTAAAACAGTTACAAAAGGAGAATGTTTTTCATATTATATTTGTTTCGATTTCAAAGATCGTCATCATAATATATTAAGATATAGAAAATCAAAATCATT